TTTTTTATTTTATTCATTTTATACTACCGGCCGCCTTGGGGCGGCCAAGGTAGGAGGGATACATGGATCAAGTTTTACGAAAAAAGCAAGCACAGAGTGTGGCAGCGCAGCAAAAAAAAAAAAAAAAAAACATTTTACATATATGATCACGAACACACAAAGAGCAGAAAACTATTCGTTTGAGGGGTATCAAGGCCTGAAACCTCAAAACTCTGGTAATTCGTTTATCAATGAGAAAGAGAAAGAAAGTTGTGGTGCAGGAAAAGGGTGTCTGAACGACTCTTTTTCAAGTAGGTTAAGAAAACTTGTGCTTAAAGAGCCCCTGAAAAGAAAGAAAAAAAAGTGTTTTTAAACAATCTGGTTGGGACAAGCGTGTCAAGAAATAAAATTTACGCGAAAAATAAAAAAAAATAAAAACTTTTAGAGCAATATTGACGGCGGGAGATTTATGTGAAATTCTGAGCGCGAAGTTCATGACGTCATGGAATGGTCATTCGTTCTTTCCACCTCAACGTGAAAGCGATCCACCTCTCCTCCATGCGCCCGAAATGCCGAGAGAGAAAACAAATGAAAAGGAGGTGACTGCCAACTATATCGCGTCACGCGCCGTCAATATTGCTCTAAAAAAATAGCGTAAAATAAATTTTTTGAAACGCCTGTCCCAACCGGACTGTTAAAAAAAACATTTTTTAAGGGGTCTTTTTAAATGAAGTACATTCTCTGATTATGTGCCTGTACTTTAGAAAACAATGTTATTTGGAAATTTTTTGAGTGAAGTAATGGCGGCTATACGACCGATGCAAATAAGTGCCTTATAGGTTGATGGTGTTAAATAGTTTGTCAGCGAGAGTGAAACAGACACTCCGTCTACTCCGTGGCCACCCAACATTCGCCGTCATTTAAAAAAAAAAAATCTGATGCACTTTTGATTACCCCCACGTAAGATTGTGTTAAAAAGTACTTAATTGTACTTTAATTTGAAAGTGCATCATATTTATAGTACTTTACCTCAAGTAAATTGCACCCAATATACTTACTACTTTACTTGAAGTACATAACCTATCATTCGCTTTGTATTTTACATCAAGTACTTTTTACACGTACTTTACCAAGCACTGCTAAAGGTTATAATATTTAATTAATAAAAATATAAACTGACCACCCTACCAAAAATCCAGTATAATTTTTCACTTTCGAAACTGGAAATCTAACTGGAATTGTTTCTGGAAACCTGAAATCCCAGTTCCGTAATCCACAAACCGAAACGTTATACTGGGTTTTTCGGTAGGGCAGTAATATTTTCTTCTCTTTAAACATGCGATTTCACGCAGCTTTTGTGATAAAATGCGTGCAAAGTGGCCTGCATGGTCACAGGAATCAGCAGATGAGAAAATAAAGTAACGAAATGTAGGAAAATATGTGGGGATATTTCAAAATATTGCAGGGAAAACGTACCCCAAAAAAGGGAATTTTAGTACCCAAAAAAAAATGGAATTTTTGGACGTGGTATGGAACATCACTGCCGATGCATCGCACGTGAAGTGCGTGATGGCGTCGACGCTTTCGGCGAGCGTAAACTAAATATCGTGCCCGCTGTCTTCGATGCTGTGCAAAAAGTTACGAGACGGAAGAAACATCAAAACCCAAACGTCTTGGGCTCCGGGTCGGGCTGCTGGGCCACTCTGGATCAGAGGCGACGTGCGTGCGCACGGCCTGGCGAGCGAGATCGTCGTGAACCGCTCTGAGGACGCCACCGCGCTTCGCCTCGTCATACCTTGCCAACCACGACCGGACCCCGAGGCTGAAAGGCTCCGGCGTAGCCAGGGACGGCACCGAGGAAGGAGCTGCTCGTTCTGCGCTACCATGCAGTGCTCGGAGCTCTCGGCGTCGTTCGTGTTAGCGCCGAAACCTGTAGGCACTCCCTTGGACACGCAAGTCGTATTTCGCAAGGCTTGGGCGGGGGCCGCCCTCTCCATGCAGCTCAGTGATATTCCGCTCGTTTAGTTTGGCAATAAAAGCTCGCGTTTCTTCTCGGGAGGAACAGCGGGCGACCACAGGGAGCCGCTCTCCACCGCCGACGACGAAGTTGGCCGCTGCCATGTTCTCAGCAGTTCACTCGCTCCTGCAGCGAGCGCCTTCCCATAATCCTCCCCGTTCCAAAATGCGATGCGACCTCCGTTTACATGGGTTGAATGAATGCGCATTCGCCGTCTCGATCCACCTCTGTCTGGCGAATTGAATGCGATGCGCTTCTCTAGCGCATTATGCTGTTTACATGACCGCATCGAATGCGATAACTGGATTTGATGCGACTAACACCCTTGTTACACTGGCAGACTTAACTGCAGTTAGGCTAAGCCGCAGTTAGCGCACAATACTTGCCGACAACATTCTGCGGCTATGCAGTCAAAGCTATGGGCGAACGTGCACTTGAGCATCTTGAGCATCTATCAAAGCAGTGCACGCGCGCTCTTCACTTCTTCTGAAATAGCTGTCAGAGAGTATAGTGCGGTATCTGTGGTGCCGCGCAAAAGCAGTTAAGCTGAGTTAACCGCGGTTAAGTGTGCCCGTGTAACAGGGGTATAAGTCGCATTCATGTAAACGCGGCTAAAAAATAGTTAAAAGATAGGCGCGTTTCCGGCACCATAGTTGAACTGCTTGCGGCACAAGCGACTTATTTTTGTTGCACGGCCCATCTGGACGCTCTTGTAAGACGTATGGCGTAGTTAGCCAAGCTTGTAGCTCCTTTCGCTTGGCAGAAAAGCGACGGCACCCGGAAAATGATAGCACCAGGGGCGTTGCCAGAAAAAAAAAAAAAAAGGGGGGGGGGGTTATGGGGTTCCAGCAGTGTTGTACGGAACGGCGTTCCTGGAACGCGTTCCTTTTAGGAGGAACGAAGGAACGCCGCCGTTCCATTTTGCATCATTGGAACTGGAACGGGAACTCAATACGTTTTTATTGGAACGGAAAAAGAAACGGTGTTCCTTTTTTTTCGTCCAGTGGGATAATTTATATTTTATTTCTAAGAGAAAAATTATAAAAAGAATAAAAACAATACCTTTACGAAGAGCAGGATATCGTTAACCCTTTGGTTACTTATCGTAGGGTTTATTTTATGTGGTCCTCACTTGGTAACAGTGGGGTGCAGGAGAGCTATAGTGGACATTGATTGATTCTTTTTTAGTGCCCGAGACTGCGGTATTAAAAGCCAAACTTTTAGTTGAAGGAAAAGGCATAGAAAGAGAGGCATTTCGAACTCAGCTAATTTCTTTGCTTCCACGAATCCTCATACACCCAGCAATCTAAGGCCGACTACCGCCATCACTGAACTTCCACGAAGAGACCTAAAGTTACAACAAAAGAACAGGTTACCTGACATCGAACGCACCCTTCTGTCCCAAATATTGATCATTTAAGATATGTACAAAAATTAACCGTTATTCATTCTCTGCTTGTTCCCCACCTTCAAACTGAACAAGGAATCCTACCTTCATTTCATTTCATTTATTTATCCTTAAGGGCCCGGGTGGGGCATTACATAAGGGGGGGAGTAGACGAGAACTAAAATACACTTTGACACTTGAAAACGACAAAAATACGAAAAGGAGAGAGTCAAAATAACAATAGTAAAAAACAGAAAGTACTGATATGGTTTAGTTGGGAATGATTAGTGGTTGAGTAAAGAGATTTCGTGGCGAAACCTTATTGGGTCAGTAATGACCACAGTGTCGTCGGGAAGGGAGTTCCAGATGCCCATTGCATGAGGGAAAAAGGAAGTGTTGAAGGCAAGCGTTTTGCCTGCAATACGCTTGATGCATTGACTGCGATTAAGGCGTGATGATACTCGGTCAGGAGGAGCAAGAGTAGTGGTATGGGAGTATGGATAGTTATAGTAGAATTTATGCAATAAACCTAACCGAGAATTCAATCTTCGACTAGACAGTAAGGGTAGTTCTAGAGTTTCTTTAAGTTGGGTGACACTGATGTCATGAGTATAAGCTGAAGAAGGACTTGTATTTTTCAAGACTGACCTTCCAAAAGCCCTACCTTCTTCTTCACTTGCTCGTCTTGCGAACAGCAACATCAAGAAGCAACTGCTGTTAAGTTCGAACAGATGACTTTGTTTGATTGAAACGTGTGAGGTTGTAAAACGCTCGTGCAATATGGGGTAACAGTACATTTAGCTCGTCTGACTCGCCCACCATAAACAATGGCTGAAAACTGAGATGTTTAAAGATTAATATATCAACAAATGAAACCCTGCTTCCGCTTGTCTTCTTCTACTGGTGCCCTTCCATCATTGCCTTCAAATTCCTATGTTGCCATTTGATGGGATAAATAAAAAAGGAAACTTTGCTTGATCTAACTAAATATGGTAATCACCAAATACGAATGTAACGTATATGTAACGATACGTTCCATTATTTTAACTGTAATGGGAACGAGTTCCTTTTTCACAAATGGAACTTGCAACGGGAAACGCGTTCCAAAAATCAGAAGGAACGAGGAACGAGCTTTCGTTACTTTTTTTTTAGGAACGCGTACAACACTGGGCTTCAGCCCTCTCTCTCTATCTCCCCCCCCCCCCCCCCCCCCCGCGAAATGAAGCCGGCCCTATAATATACACGTGCATTTTGACCCTCCCCCCTCCCCCTCTCCGCACTTGAAGACAGGGACATCCCAGCCACCTCACCCCGCCCCCCCCCCCTCCCCCCCCCCCCCCCCGATAAAAATCCCCTGCTACGCCACTCGATAGCACAACCGTTTTCTCTTTCAGTGACGTGCTTATTCCTGCTGTAGTTGTTACTGCAAGGTTTTATTGGTAACAGAAAAGGCTTTAAGTACAATATTTTAATTACTTGAAAATTATACCCCAGAGTTGGATGTTTGTCTCTTCCACCTTCTCAGAGTCTCTCTCTTCCTCGTCTTCGTCAGAGGAGCACTGTCGTGAAAGATAATTCATTTGTGTTTTATGCAATTTCTACCCACATTTTTTTCAGGTTCTCAGGGCGAAGAAAAGAAAACTGGGTCAAATGGAGAAGGTAATTTAAGATTTCCACTTGATCTTGCATAGTTCGTTTTCAATACAAAAAAGGTAGTACTTTTTTTAGCATTGCCAGCTGTCAATTACTGACGATTAAGGGAGCCGTGAAATCCCAAGAATTTTTTAAGTGCAGGTGAGACATGTGTGAACAAAAAATTTAATTTTCCGATTTATAGTTTACACAGAAAGAATGAAGACACTTAAAACGACGAGGGACACACTTAAGAGATTACGAACAGCGCGAAAAAAGACGAGGACACCGAGAGTTGAGCGCAGGACGAGCGCTCACAGTTATTTCACATAATGCAAAATCCACAGTTAGGCGTGGGACAGGCACTCAGTTATTTCATTTTATTTCATTAAAAAAACTGTGAGTGTCTGTCCCCAGTCCTCAATTCAGTGTTTTTCCTCAATTAAGTGCGCGTGAACTATATTTTATTCAACGCGCTCTGCTACGTGTATTTCCTGATTATTGAATCGAAATTTCGAAACGTTATGTACACTATGATTATTACTGTATAATCTTACATAGGAGCTGGACGTTGTCTGTTCCACCACCTCAGAGCCTCCTCCGCTTTTTTGTCCCACAAGCGTTATTGATCAATATAATTCAACCATGTTCTATGTCATTTTTTCCGCTCACCTTTCCAGGTTCTGGGAGCCAAAATGAGGAATCTGAGTCAGAGAAAGAAGGTAATTAATAATTTCCACTTTATTTTGCATAGTCTGTTTTCAGCACATAAAAGCAAGTACCTTTCTCTGGAAGAAGCGTTCGTAGCAGTCAGTCAGGAACGACCAGAGGAACACTAAAGTCACAAAACACGTTTTTTAAGTGCCCATGTGGACACGTATATCCACCCCAAAAAAAAAACTTTCTCAAGAAAAAAATGTTTATGAGTGGAATATTTACACCGCGAAGCGAAATTTAGTTGGAGGTATGCTGCGTCCACGCCCCACTGTAGGCTTATTAGTCCTGGATAGTCTTTACTGCTTGCCCGAACAACCCTTCACAAGTTTAATGCCTCCCTCTCGCGACTTCCGGTTTGTCTAGTTCAGTGTCTATAAGATGATAACGGCAGGCAGTCTCTTTCAGAGGACCGGTCTCCAGCACGCGCTCATATGCCTGTTTCTCTCCTCCAGGGGACACTGTAGAGTCTACGAGACGCGACCACAAAAAAAGGCACCTCCCCTAGCGTCCGCGAGACGCATGGAGGTAGGAAGCAGATGAGGCGACATACCCTCTCAAGCCAGCCAGCCAAACGAAAAAATCCCAAGTGAAACCGGAAGCAGAGCTCGCGATCGGTTAGATATGCCCCAGGGTGACCAAAACAGCCGTTAGCACCAAATTAACTCTCGCTTTTGTGAAATGGCGATGTTGTTTTTTTCGTCATTGTAGGGGGCATGTTTTTACAATTATCCCTGGCTTCACCTCTGATGGCGTCATGTCGCCTCCACAAGCTTCCTACCTCCGTGGCGAGACGCCGTCTTTTTAAGTCTGATGCGAACCTAGCGAAGCTATAGCATCACATAATGCAAAACCCACGCGTGCCAACTAGCGTCTTTCATTGCCCTCATTGTCTGTCCATGGGCACTAAAAGAGCGTTTGAAAGGACACAAAAGCGATGAACAACGGAAACGCGACCTAAAGATATCTGACTTTGCACAAAAGAGGCGCTGCTTAAAGGGGTACAGAAGCGAAATTTTGGCGCCTAGTTCATTGTGCACGCGTGGCCTCTTTTATGACAAAACTTCACGAAAGAGCAATTTTAAAACGAATAAAACGATTTCCAAATACCACCTGGTGATTAGGGGGCTAGCTTCGTTGGAATGTCTGACGTAACGGACTCATTCGTAGTTACGCCACGGCGCGGCAGTGTCCGGTGAAGGTGCCCGCGGGAACAAGCGGTGCTTGGCACGCCTCTCAGTTCTAGTGCCCCGTACCTCGGGTATTCCCACTATACCTCAGCGAGACTCTCTCATGAGTGCGCTCACTCACATCACTCACCCTCACCGATCAGGCGTGAAGTGAGGGTGAGTGAGTTCGTAAGCCTCAAAAACTCATGAGTTTCAGGTTGAGTGAGGGGCGTGCGTTCGGTGAGGGCCTTGAGTTCATGATTTTGGTTAGTTTATGAGTTCAGTGAGTTCATGAGTTTGGTGAGTTCATGAATTCGGCGAAGGGCGTGACTTTATGACGTCGTCGATTTCATGCTTGGTGAGCTAATGAGTTCGGTGAGGGGCGGGAATTTGTGAGCATGGTGAGTTCATGACTTAGGTGACGGGCGTGAGTTTGGCGAGGAACGAGTTCCCGAGGTGACATGGGATTGATGAACGTTTGCAGGGTGATGTTGAGTAAGGGCGGGTCATGTGACTTCTCTGTACCTTTCTGGGGAAGTTGAGTTGACTCTCGTTTCGCAATGGTGGTGTTAGCTTGTACGGATAGTTCTTTACAAGTGGTGGCAAAGGAGGAAAGGTGCCTATTGATTTATCTACGCTATTGGGTTCCGCCTCTCTACGCGGCGGCTTGGTGTGGCCTTTCGTCGCTCATTGCTGCTGCGTGACGGGGTGACGAAAGAGGGGGTTAACAGATTCACTGAACGATTTACAGAGCGGCGAGGCCGCTTTTACGGGAACCGACATCTTTATTTAGTACCCTCATACCCTCACACGCGCACAAACAAATTAAGTCAGATAAAGCGAAACACATTCCCTCGCGAAAAACACTTCATGAGATATGTACCTGCAACATATTCTTGCTAAAAACTATGTCAGTTGAGATTTTCCTCTGAACATATCGGTAAACGTGAAGCGACTCGCCTACTTCTTAGGGCTCTTTCTGGGGGGCTGTAAAGTGCTGCACGTATACCTCCTATATTTTAAAAAAGTGAATTGATTTAGAGATTTCGGACGATTAGCGGCGGTATTCTAAATAGAGCAGTGCCCATAAATATGCGAGTTAAAGGTTGATTACTCAATATAATTAAAAACTCAATGATCGCGAACGCCATTATTCGTTCTAATACGTTCTTTAGAAGAGACAAATGTAATATAGAAGTTTTCTTTCTTTTTTTCTGCGTGAAGCGTAGTTTTTGAAAGAACGACTTTGCCGACGATTTGTGAAACACACTGTACAATAAAATTAGCAAAAATAAATGAAAGCCGTCTACAACTCCCTGTAACGCCGAATTAGAGCGCAGCTCTTGAGGAGGAGGAGGGTAGGGTACTGAGGGTCACGTGTTCTCGGGGGGGGGGGGGGGGGGGGGACACGTGACCTGGGGGAGGGGTCACGTGACCCTCCCCAGGTCACGGGACCCCCTCCCCGAGGTTACGGGGGGGGGGGGGGGGTCACGTGACTTCGGGAGGGGGGGGCGAGGTCACACGACTTGGGGGGGCACGTGACTTCAGGGGGAGGGGGGGTCACGTGACCCCCAGAGAAATTTTTCCGCTAGATTTAGCGGGGAAATTTTCCCGCTAGATTTAGACGGGAAATTTTTCGCTAGATTTAGCAGGGAAATGTTTCCACTATATTTAGCGGGAAAATTTTTCCGCTAGATTTAGCGGGTATATTTTTCGCTAGATTTTGCGGCGAAATTGTTCCGCTAGATTTAGCGGGGAATTTTTCCACTGGATTTAGGGGTGAATTTTCTGCTAGATTTAGCGGGGAAAGTCTTCCGTTAGATTTGGGGGGGGGGGGGGAATTTTTCCGCTCGATTTAGCGGGGAATGTTTCCACTAAATCTAGCGGGAAAATTTTTCCGCTAGATTTAGTAGGGACATTTTTTCGATAGATATAGCGGGGAGAAATTTCCCCTAGATTTAGCGGGAAGATTTTTCCGCTAGATTTAGCGGGGAAATTTTGCCCCTAGATTTAGCGGGAAAATTTTTCCTCTAGATTTAGCGGGGAGGTTTTTCCGCTAGATTTGGCGGAGAGATTTTTCCAAAAAATTTAGCGGGGAAATTTTTCCGCTAGACTTAGCGGGGAAGTTTTTCCGCTAGATTTAGTGGGGAAATTTACCCATAATGCATCGCGCGGTTACGCCGACGGCGACGCCGTTCAAGTCGGAAACGGGCGCCTAAGAGCTGCGCTCTAAAATGAACGCTTTATTATTTATCTACAAGTGCCTTGCTTATAAACATGTTCGTGCACAATAAGTGCGAATAACGTAATTCTGCAATATTCATCATCTCAACCTGGGCTTACGCAACAAGGCAGAAATGTAAACGTATAAAATGCCGCACGAGGGTAAGCGTTTGTAAGTTTTTATACTTTCAATAGACAAAGTAGTCTAATGGCGAATTCCCGTGTTAGTTTTGGAGCACGCCGGGATCGCCTCTTCTGAAGCGCGCCTATTTCACTGGGCGATCGGGATCGAGACGGACGCGTTCCACTTGTTGTTCTGGATCAGCTCTCACTCTATATCTCGATCCGGATCCGAAAAACGTCGGTCCGCCGGCGGATTCGACCGGAAGCCAGCCTGGCCAGCCCTCGGCGCGCAAACGCGACTTTCTTTCTCGTCTGGTATCTCGGTGAGCTGGCCTCGGAAGAATTCGTAATGGCCGCTCGCGAAGTGCCGCCCGCTTTATTGCTGCTTCTGCTTGGTGACAGTTCGTCACCAAGTTTGCTCGAGCAGCTCCTCCAGCAGCAGCGGCTCGAGTAGCAGCGGCGAGGAGGATAGCTTCTATGTCCCGCTTGAATTGGACTGCTTTTTCGGACCTCGGCCAAAGAGGCCGCCAATGGACCTCCACAGAAGAGGCCACCGTTCACGAGTATTCTGATGAAGAGACAAGTGGGCTATGCGGCTACGCTGATACACAGCGCTTATCGACGCGCACCTTTCACATCATGATTAACTTGGCTCGTGCGCTCAACACGTTTTAGCGCCGCGATCGCGAAAACGTTTTTTTTCCAAGACCAACAACCGGTGGAAGGGGAATTACGGGAAGGCATCCGCCGATCCCGGAGGAATGCTCATGTTCCACAAGGGATCCGCAGGCGGGGCGACTCCATTCGGATGGCGTGATCCATCTCGGATCAGGTCTACTGATTACGGCGCCCTCCAAAACGACTAATAGAATTCGCCATAAGGAATAGTTGAAAAACCAAAACGTTATGTCCTCAACCGTCGTTCACTTCAAAATTAGGAAAAAAATAAAAAAGCTTTTGAAATTGCTTGGACAGGGCACGGATGTCGCACAACACACTTTCCCCGAAGGAAAAAGTAGATAGTTTTAGGGGCTTAGTTTGGGACGACAGACAGAGATTTCGAAATCGCTCCTCACTGTATACTGTCACGAATGACAAGTGATGAGGCGATAATATCTGAAGAAACAAAACCTTTAATGGGGCGAACTTGTGCCCAAAAATAGAAAGGGAACAGAAGAAAGGAGAGCGTTGCGGGCGTCGAACCAGCAGGATCGCCGCCTTCGACGAAACTGACTTTGGCTCACCACGCGAAACCCCTTATGTACACGCGTGGGGTTCTGGAATAATCGGCGCAGAAAATTCGACGCGTAGAACATTCGGACCTCGAACAAGCAACAGGATTCGGGAATTTTCCAAAACACTACATTGCAGGAATAAACAAAATACACGTCGCTCCCGGGAATCGAACCCTGGCTTTTCGCGTGGGTGGTAGGCGCGATAACCGTTAGGCCACGCGCGCGCGGCATTACTCCCCCCTTTAAAAAGAGCATCGC